AGTTCTTTTCAGGGACCCTGAGGATGCGAAATAATATGATAAATGTAGGGTATTTAATATTTGCAGAATAGTTCTTTTAAAATATTAAATAAATTAATTCCTTTCAGATAAACCAAGCTAAGCCGGAATGTGGACGACAAAGCCTTGTTGAACTTCTCATCCGACCAGTACAGAGGTTACCTAGTGTTGCATTACTTTTAAATGGTACTTGTCTCATGTGTTTTCATATTACTGCATATACCATCAGGGAAGTTCTTCCAAAAGTTGAAAATTTTCTTATTTGCAGAGATTTTTAGATTTCAACATTAAAAACATAAATCTTTTACACAGGAAACATCTTTATATATAATCTTGAAAAATAGTCACTGATGCTACAAAAATTTAAGCTGGCCTGAAATCCTTTTATTTTGCTATCAGTTATATTGAATAGTATCATACCTTTTTGTTTTCCCCTTAAAAAATTAACCAACAAGGAGTAAGACAAGCCATATGTCCCAAATATTTTTAGTCTTCTTTAAGTTTTTAGCTAGGTTCTGTGAACATGGTTTAATACTTTTATTTTTTGTCATATTGTTCAATGTACTCTTGAAATTATTTATTTTAGAACTTTAAATCAAAATATCAATAGAAATGAGTTTTACAGGAATTTTTATAAATTTTCCTTTGATTAAAATAATGCATATGGATTTTTTTTATATATAGTTGACTAAAGTGAATATTTCTAGGATAGTGTCAGGTTTCATTACATTTCTACAAATTAAAGTATGAAAACTAAATTATAAAGAAAAAATATCTGTAATTAAAGATTTTGATCCCTAAGTTTATAATAATACATGTAGCAGTTAATGAGTTTAATTTTGTGGCATGGTGAGGGGCAACAGTTCATAAGCCTCCTTTTCTCCCTTATATTGTATGCAGTCTCCCCACCCTAGGGCGCGTGTAACACTCAACACCATCTTGTCTTCTTGCACAGGATGAGGATGTTTACAAAGTCAGGACCCTGGCTGGGCTGCTGCTGAGTCAATAGCTTCTAAACTTCTCAGGTTGACACATGAGTGAACCACAGCAAATGCTATCCAGAAAACCTATAGTTTTTGTTTTCCTTACTTAGCTGATATCATTGAGAATTACCAAATTAAGAAATGATTTGCCCATACTTTTTTTTAATGAAGTACTGAGAATTGAATTGATGGATAATGAGCTGTATCCCCAGCCCAGGTTTTTAAAATTTATTTTGATGACTTTTATGTATATCTTAAAAATAAAAAAATCTTTGAATGTATATTTTCACTTTGAAGTACAAAGATAAGTTTTTGCTTCATGACATATGTAACTCGGCACACATACAGAAAAAAGACATAGAATCACCGAATCCTTAGTGAATTATCTTTTTAGCATTGTTGATTTTTTTTTTTTTAAAAGAGGTATATTGAAACACATTAAAAAAGATACTGCCACCATGAGCCCAACTGAAGAGCCCAAGCAGTCCTTTAAAGGCGTCATCCCAGAGCTCATGTCTTAACTGGGGAGGAGGAGTGGTTCATGTGTCTTAGCAGGGGTGGGGGGTTGGGGGGGTTGTTATTTTATTGTTGTTGTTGTTTTTTTGGCGGAACCGGGGATTGAACTCAGGCTCTTTTACTTGCCAGGGAAGCGCTTATTCCACTGAGCCATCTCACAGGCCCCTGTAGTGTTATTTTGAAGCAACAGTGAGGTAGATGCAATATCTGTATAGGATCCAAAATACTCTACAATACAAATGATCTGACTAAATGCTATGTGAAAAAAATTGTAATATGTGGGAAATCATAGAAGATGAGAAAAAATTCAGTAGCATATATTGATACCGTGACTGGCAACATTTAAATGTGCATATTAAGTAAATTATAAAAATTGAGAAAGATATACAAAGTTGGCTCCAAATTTACCTTGGTTGTAGACTTATAATTATGATGTTACAAGTAAGTATGCTGAAATACCACATTTAGTTTTTGAGACAGGATCTCACTAAATTGCTCAAACTTGTTAGTCCAAATTTATTGGTTCTCTTACCTCTGCCTCCTGAGTAGTGAGATTACAGGTATGTGGCACCATGCCCAGGCGATATCACCACTCTAAAATCGGTCCTTTTAGCGAGATGTGGCACATTCCTATACTCCCAACTCTTAGGAGACAAAGGCAGGAAGATTGAAAGTTTGAGGGTATCCTGGGCTACATGGTAAGGTCCATTCTCAAAACAAATAAATCTTTTTGCAGATTTTAGTAACAGTATGTAAATGCTTTCTAGTTTCCAAAACTGATTTTTGTTAATTTACATAGCTTCATTATAGTTTTATTAAGTACTTAGAGAAAATCATCAAATGGTACTGAGAGTAAAATTAATTTAAGAGTTTTTTGTAGGGCCTCCTAGATAGCGCAGAGGACTAAAACGCCTGCGTAAGCAGGCCCTGGGCCAGGGTTCGATCCCTGGCATGCTGTGTGCGACCCCCCCCCCCCCATGCGATGAGATGGTGACTGAGACTGGCGTACCTGTAATCCCAGTGCTTGGGAAACTGAAAATAGATCACTATGAGTCCAATCTGTGTAGTGCAATTCTGTATACTTTGTACTAAATACATTTAAATAAAGTATTTTGTGTTGCTCTATGTAAATGATTGGGTGGCTATGGGAGTTAATATGTTAAGTGTAAACTCTAGAATAACAAAATTGGCTTTTTAAGATACCGAATGCTCTGTGGCTTAGGTTGCATTATTAAATATTTTAAAGAGTTCTGAGTTAATTTGGGATAGAATTTAAAGGATCAAGGAATCTCCATGTGTTATTACAAGAGAATTGAGAACAGTGACATATTCTGAAAATTTAGTATGAGCTTAGTATAGAAAGTATTTGAGAATATTAATACGTTAGGAGAGAGCTTTATTAGGGAACTTGCTTAAAATATTTTAAAGATTAAATATTTAAAATAATCAGTTTATATCAAGATTGACAGTATTTTTAAGTTTTGGTAGGAGACCACTGTGTTGTTTTTAGTCATGGGGAAAATACTTTATTACAGATCTTAAGAAACATACAGCCGATGAAAATCCTGACAAAAGCACTTTAGAGAAAGCTATTGGATCACTAAAAGAAGTAATGACGTAAGTGTATTTTTTCAATTTTTCCTTCTTTAGAATAGTAAGGGTAGAATTGGCATGATTGTCATAAATTAGAGAAAAGTATCAATAGCTAACTTTTGTAGAATAATATTTAAGCTACTTTAAAATTTTTAATGTATTTATTTATTTGCTACATAGCTTGGACTTGTAGTGATCCTCCTGTCTCAAATTCCCCAGGGCTGGGATTACAGGCATGCACTACCATGTCCGTATACTTTTCTAGTAGTGTACTTATAGATAAATATTGTTAGTATGCATTCCTTAATCAAAATATTTGTTTCAGAAATTATTAAATTATTCCATACTGAAAGCAATAATGATTTAGAAACTTGATAATGTTAATTGCATAGAGATACTTTCTTTACATTTTTCCCATTGTAGCTTATTTTTATCTTTGTATTAATATAAAATATAACTTGGGAATTTGACCTTGGTGAAATGTAAGGCTTATTTTTCTTCTCTTAACTTTGTTTCTTATCTAGAATTTACGAATTGAATTGACAAAATTGATTGGAGATGTATTAAAAGTACAGAATGAAATTGATTTGGAGAGTGTGGTAATTAAACTTAGGTTGTTGACTATGAGTCTAACTTTAAAAACATAGGTCTGATCTTTTCTAAAATGGGTAGAAAACTGTTACCATTAACTGTTTTGCCTCATGGAAATCACCTAAACTTTTTGTTTGAGATATTTAAATAATTTCTGAGCTTTCATGAAGCCCTTCAGTATGCAATCATACTTTAAAATATTTGCAGTAGAGACTTTGACAGAAGCTTAAGTAGCTCTAGAAAGAAGAACCAGCAGGATCTTTTCTTTTTTATTCTACTGTTTGGGAGAATAGTGAATAAATCAATAGCAGTTTCTCTTGCTGTTGTATCAATACTTTCTTTTCTTACTGTATTATTGATTTGGTTTATCAGCCAGTCTCTGTGTTTTGGATTTGTTATCCTTGACACAGGATAATAATTTTAAGGTTGTGATGATGATGATTTTCTTTTTTGTCTTGCTTAAAGCTAGGAAGTAAACAATTATTTTCACATGTTTTTACAAAACAAAAGAGCTACAAATCTGTTACCTGCCTGATATACCTGTTTACTCTTAACAATTAACTTACATTGTTATTTACATACATTTCAGTAAGCAAAAATGGCGAGGTAATTATTTACTATTACTAATAGGATTATGAAAGGCTGGGGAGATAGTTCAGCGGTTTTAAGTGCCTGCCTGGCAAGCTCCAGGACACAGGTTCGATCCCTGGTACCACATGCCTTGCCACTCTAGAATGCCAGGCGCACTGTGCCGGCCACTGAAACCACATGTGGTGGCACACACCTGTAATTGCAGCACTAGGGAGGCTGAGACAGGAGAATCACTGCAAGTCTGAGCTTCATAGCAAGACCCTGTACTAAATAAAAAGATAAAAAAAAAATTTTTTTTTGTTTTGTAATTTAGGACAGGGTCTACAGGGTCTCACTACATAGATCTGACTTGTAGTGATCCGCCTGTGTTCAGCCTCCCAAGAGCTGGGATTACAGGCATGGGCCACCACTCCCAGTCTCAATTGCTGCCTCAGCATGCCCTGGGGGGCGGAGCCAGCTCAGCACACTGAGGATCGAACCCCTGGCCGCTGCGACTGCCTAAGCAGGCACTTTAATCCACCGAGCTATTTGGCCCTAAAAAAACGTTTTTCAAAAAGTAAGATTGTGATAGTGAATATACTGATCATTTGATTACTTGCCTCTATAGTAGTGTCAGTCTGATGAATCAGTAAGGTGGGTCTTTCTCTTTCAAAATTAGTTTTTGAGTATCTTGAGAATTCATAGATATTTTCAATATATCATTTTAAGTGCCTTGTTCGTGGTAGGTTTTCATTGTTGATTTCTGATGATTTGTAAGCCTTGTAGAACTTGACCAGCTCTAAATTCTTATGGTTGGTTAAAATAACCAAAATATAGTAGGTAAAGAAAATAATGATACAGCATCAATTTACTAGTTCTTGCCATTTAAGTAAATCCTTCAAAACCTCCATAATTCAGTCTTGTTAACACTAGTACACATACTTAATTTCTAAATCTTAATTTGTTATACAGACAAGTTTTTTAGTAACTTAAATATATATGTATTAACAGATGCAGATATATATCTGTTAATATATATAGGATGTATTTGTAGATACAGATATATCTAAGTTTAAAGTTGGCATACATGAAACACTGTGAAGCTGAAGCCATCACCGCAGTGTAGCTAGGGAAGGTTTGCATCATGCCTCGGTATTATTCATGCCCGACGGTTATCTGTCTCTGCGTTGGCCTGTCCTGCACAGCCTAAGGCAGCCATTGGGATGGTTCTGTTACTCTAATATGCATTCTATGATCTTACCTACATGGAGTTGGATAGTATGTTCTCTTTTACCTATCCTTTTTTACTCATATTTATTTTGAGAATAGTCTTTATTAATGCTTAATAATTCATTCTCTGTTACGTTCCGTTCTATGTCACTATCCATTCTGGTGTTGATACATATTTTGATTCTTGTTTCTGGGTATTAAGTACAAAAACAGCTGCTGTGAACATTTATTAGTCTACACGGACAGGTGCTTTCATTTCTTTTAGATAACTTGCTAATAGTAGAAATGTGTTCTTTTATCATGTATATTACAAACTAAACAACATGTGGTTTACTTACTACTTTATGTAATCTTATGCCCCTTAAAAAATACTCAGTAGGGGGCTGGAGAGATGGCTCAGTGGTCTAAAGCACCTACTTAGAACAAGCTTGGCAAAGCATTGGGGACCGCGGTTCAATCCCCCAGCACCACATGCCAGCCAGCCCGCCCCCTGGTGGGCTGAGCTGGCCACACACAC